CTGTCTATATTGAGGAGAACCTGGTTTTCCTGCATTCAGATTTAAGGATATGTTCAAATTTATTTCTTCATGTGTTCAAGATACCTGCAGGTCATAGGTGCTATCCCTGCCTCAAACCAAAGTACAGAATGACAACACTAGACCTAGCTTTGGGGGTGGAAAAGTTACTGTTTTGAAATTCAAGGTTCCCCAGAGATCATCATGGCTTCAGGACTGTTGAAATTAGTAACTTTTCCAGTTTCCAGTTGAAGGAATAGCTTTGGAGTATGTCTGAGGTAGCTGTAATTGCCAATAAAATATATGAAGGGGGAGACAGAGTGGAGAAAGCAATGTTTCAAATACCACATTATGCCTATATCAAACAGAGAAACCTATAAAACAGCCATCTTCTTTAATGTCACAATAGCAGTAAATATATACCATCCAAAAGATACCAGAGAGTATAGCCATGCTCAAAACAATATCATGCTGTGCACTTTTAAGAACATAAACGAGATTTTAAAAGCAACTGCCATACTCTATTGTGATGAGTGCAGAAGGAGATATTAGGTCACATCGTTTGCCCACCAAACACTGCCTAATATTGTCTACTCTACATAATTGAGATTTTGTGTGAAGTTTCATTTCCCTCTAAAAATGAAAAGGAAATTGCTTAGGTTCCCCTCAGTTGTGTTTTATGTTGGTTTCTGTTCATGCAATGGGACATATCCTTCCTCTACTCCACAATACCTTGCACTAAATCTACTCCAGAATGTCCCCCAACCATCGCGCTGATTTGAGCGCACAGAAGGGGCTGTAGGGCAGAAGGCAACCTGTTCTATCAGTTTTCTCCACTCAGCTAGTATAACCCTTTAGGAAAGACCAGACTGAGCACCCTTCCTCTCCATTTCCATGTACTGCTCTGTAGGTTTTTCTGCCTAGAGGCAGAAATTATTTCACCAAATGCCAAACAATTAAAGGGTTCTGACCTTGAAGCATTTGGAAATAATTCCAGAAATTGCCAATCAATTGTTACGGTAACCTTTTAAACCATATCTGAACACAACTTTTAGTTCTGAGTACAAGTATTTCAGCAAATATTTGGATACCCCAAAATATTCCACAATGTTTCCTAAAATCTCTCCTTTTAATTCCATTACCTAAAATGTTGACATATACCGGTACATAGGAACACTATTAACTTAAATAGCACACAAATGCTACTTAAGAAGAAAATGAAAGCCAGAGAAGCATTGGAGAATAAAAATATAATGAATACTTGCAAATTTTATGCTCTTTGACAAACAAGGATGCCTCAAGCCATTGAAACACTATGTGAAAAATATGGGTGACAAGTATGAGATTCTTCTCCTATATGAGAATGAAAAGATGAATATTTAAAAAAAGCATCAGAAACAACTGCAAACTGCTTGTATTGTGCAAAAACTTGCCGTTTTATATCCTGGTATTTTGCACAAAGGTAGGCTGCAGCTTACTTTTTCCATGTAAAAATGCTAAAATTCACTGATTTAATAATTGCCTCTTTGAACCATGCATAGAATAAAGACAATCTTGTCATTATTATTTTCAGTTTTTTAAACTTTTCAGAAGTAGATCAGGCAAACAATCAACTTTATGATTTCCCATGGACTCAATTTAACAGGAACAAATCAGTGCTAAAGACAATTACAATTATAATGTGTAACTCATTGCCTCAGTACAATGAAATCTGTTCTTACAGACTTGATCAAGTAGCAGCCACTTTTATTAGCAAGTACTAGTTTGTAGGCACCACCAGATTTCCTGATTAACTTAAATTTTATTCATTCTCCTGTCACCTGTGAAGTCTATTTCTAGCTACATGTTAACTTGCCCAGCAACTGTGATATGTACTTGTGAAGGCTGATAAATTGACCTGTAGACAAGCATTTCTAGTTGGAACAAAAGTTAATGAGCTAACCACAGGAATAAGGTAACCATGTCAAGTGGTGAAGATACACAAGAGCTAAGCAAGGAAAGTTGGTGTAGACAGAAAGAGTGAAAATGAATGGTTATGAGTGACATTAAAAATAATCAACCAACAGTTTGGTATACAAGAAGACTGGAGGGGCAGAGCATGTAAAGCAATGAAGTAAGCTTTTAAAAAAATGTTCATTGTCGTTTTGCCGTGTCCAACTCTTCGTGACCCCATGGACCAGAGAGATAAATTAAAGGAAGAATATATGTTTGAATTTGCCTTGAGCTCAGCCAATTGTTATACTTTTCTGAGGGAAAAAGGCACATAAGTATTTAATGATAAGTAGGGGCAGGATTTTTGGATTTCTAAAGCTTCCAGAATTTACCTGAAATCCCCCAGGTAGAATTCTGGGAGTAGAAATGGAAGCTTCTAGAAGCTATGGGGAGGAACATTCCAGAAGCCATGTGGACATTACTATCTGATTCTTTTGTTCCTCTGAAATACAGTATAATAATTTGGACTTCCCACCCTCTCTGTTTACACTTTTTTCTACACATGCCAAAATGTTGGCAATGATTTTAAAGACTGCAGTCCATCCATCTTTGGAGTCAACCTGCATTTTTATGAACAATACATGAAGCAATAATGGTCACTAGGTTCTCTGCTGCTTAATAAAAATGCAAGGGTTTTTATTTCTGCTCTTCCAAGAACTTTATAAAGCAGTCGTGAACCATAAATTACAGGAAAGACACCCTGGAAATAACAAAATTCATTTTACAGAAAAGTATCATTTTAGCATCTGCTGTTCAGCTCACTACACCTAAAAATAGAATGATTAGAAAAGCAGGCTGACATTAAAAATGAATAATATCACTGTCATTATATAGGCTTCAGGTGACACATAATTCAGGTATCAAGTTAGTGTAGAAACAATTCAGAAATGCTATAAAGAAATAAGCTGGCTGGATAGCTCAGCAGTACTTTAGTTATTGCTATGGACCCAACGGCCGAGAGTTCAATTCTCCTCTATGCCTCCTACAAGGAGAGCCTGCCTATGTGGCTTTGGGCAAGCTGCACAGTCCCAGGGTGCCCCCAGAAGGGGAGGAATGGTAAACCACTTCTGACTGTTCTGTACAGCGGTGCCCCGCTTGATGACGACCCCGCTTGATGACGAAATCACTTGATGACGAGTTTATAGCGATCGTAAAATGATGGTTCCTATGGGTTTTTTTCGCTTTACGCCGATTAGGTGCCTGCTTCGTGAACCGTTTGTTCGCAAAAAGATGTTTTTTCTGGCTCCGCAAAATGGCTTCCCTTCGCAAAATGGCTTCCCTCCCTTCGCAAAATGGCTGTTTTCTGGACAGAAGCTTCAGAAGACAGCGATTTTAAACAGCTGATTGGCGGTTCTCTATGGGCAATGTTCGCTGGATGATGAGGTATTTCCCCACTGGAACACATTAACCGGTTTTCAATGCATTCCAATGGTTTTTTTTCATTTGACGACAATTTCACTTAACAGCGATTTTCCTGGAACGGATTATCATTGTCAAGCGGGGCACCACTGTACCTGGAAATTCTTGAAAAGTGTCACCATCAGCCAGAATAGACTCAACAGCACATGATTGTTCATTATATAAATAAATATTACTTAATATGCACTTTTGCCCCTTCCATTTCAAAAGCCTAAATAGGTTTGCTGAAAATAAAAAGAATGGAACCATAGCATTCTTAATTTTTGAGTAAAACACACACAAAAATATTCTGTGACCTGAGTAGCTTGGAGTAGAAAATCCACAGTTCAAATCTCGCTTCTGCCATAAACGTGCTAGGTGACTTTGAGCAAAGCAGAATTTTAAGCCTCATACACCGATCTGAATATGGAGATAACTCTGTTCCTGCTTTACATATTTCTGGTACATCAAATGCTTTGAAAAGCATCCTGTGACCCATCAATGTATATTACGTACTCTCAACGCTCCTGATTCATTTAAAATGGCTTCTTTGTATAGAAGATATTGTAATTTTATTTTCTGTTGTTAAGGCATAATGGCACTGAGGTCGTAATATCACTGAGCGATGAAGCCTGTTGAGACTGTCTTTAGGAGCTTGTAAAACCTGGATCTTCCTTCATTTTTCACCCTCACAACCACCTGTATGATAGGGAAGATTAGAAGTGCAGATCTGTCACACTGTTGTACCTATTTGATTCCACTTTGTCAAAGCTCCATCCTGTCAGGACATGGACTTTGCACCTGGGTGAATTACTTAGCATTTTGTACACCATAGTTCTCATGTTATGCTTTAGGAGTGTATACTAGGACTCTCTAGCACAGAATTTTTATGATCTCACTGAGCTCTAAATCTCAAGATTCTGTACAATGGAGCCATAGTACCTGAAATGTCATCAAACTTCTGTAACTGTTTTTAGTGTAGATACTCTTTCTACAACTGGGGGAAATTTGTCAGAAAACTTGGTAGCTGAGTGGGGATTTGAATGCAAGGCAAATTGTAAGAATTCCTAATTGTGCTTTGGAACCATAATCTAAGGCCTTTAGTTATCCTAAGTACATTTTTCGCTCCATAAGACGCACCTTTCCATAAGACGCACCAAATTTTTAGGAGAAGAAAACAGGAAAAAATTATCTGCTTTCTTCTCCTAAAATTTGGTGAGCCTTATGGAGAGGTCCATCTTATGGAACACACCCTAGGGTCCTAGGGTGTGTTCCAGGACCCTTTGGAGCCTCCCCCTGCCTCCCTCGGGGGCGAGGGGGTGAAATCGCCACCTTCTGGGGCTGTTCTGAAGTTTCCCAAGCCTCAGAAGAGCCCCCAAAGGTGGTGATTTCATCCCCTCTGGCCCCCAGGGGAGGCAGGGTCAGTCTCCAAATAGTCCTAGAACAGACCCTAGGACCCTTTGGAGACTCACCCTGCCTCCCCCGGGCGACAGAGGGGACTCAACAGCACATGATTGTTCATTATATAAATAAATATTACTTAATATGCATTTTTGCACCTTCCATTTCAAAACCCTAAATAGGTTTGCTGAAAATAAAAAGAAGCACTCTACCAGTTGGATCAAAGTCTGGAAAATAATCAGGGCAATTTTGGTCAGCCAATTCTCCAGCAGGTGTGTCATCCCAACACAGCCATCCATCCCATGTCCGGTTACAGAACAACCCTAGAAATACAGAAAGAAAAAAGCGTTATTGTTTGGGGGGGAATTTCCATTGATCTTTTTTTAATTGGTTAATCCTCTTCCCCCCACTTCTTCTGCCGTCTTTCCCCTTTTTAGCGAAATGTTTGTAAAAGCGTTATTGTTTGGGGGGGAATTTCCATTGATCTTTTTTTAATTGGTTAATCCTCTTCCCCCCACTTCTTCTGCCGTCTTTCCCCTTTTTAGCGAAATGTTTGTAAAATGCACAGAAAATATTTGTATTATTACTATTGTTAAAATAAGAAACATTATTATTATTTAACATATTATACACAGCTCCGTCTCCATGGAGATTAGGGTGGCATGCATGGGATTTACCAGGAGCAACGTCAGAGGCCAGTGTAACTGAGTACCACTCAACATCCCACATGCTAGCAGAGGGCCCACTAACAAGGGCTTTCTAGGCCTACTCCTCTCTTCACCCCTGCACTTTGCTTTTTCTTTCCTACTTCTTGCCCTTTCCCAGAGCAAATAAACAATAGCCAAGTGAGGAACGGCAGTAATAGCTGGCAGTGCTTGCTCATTCATGGGCTCTCTGCCTGACAGATGAGGAAAAGCAGCAGCAAGTATCATAATGGCACTGAGGTCGTAATGATGAAGCCTGTTGAGACTGTCTTTAGGAGCTTGTAAAACCTGGATCTTCCTCTATTTTTCACCCTCACAACCACCTGGTATGATAGGGAAGATTAGAAGTGGAGATCTGTCACACTGTTGTATCTATTTGATTCCACTTTGTCAAAGCTCCATCCTGTCAGGACATGGACTTTGCACCTTGGTGAATTACTTAGCATTTTGTACACCATAGTTCTCGTGTTATACTTTAGTTTAGGAGTGTATACTAGGACTCTCTTCTACAGAATTTTTATGATCTCACTGAGCTCTAAATCTCAAGATTCTGTACAATGGAGCCATCAAACTTCTGTAACTGTTTTTAGTGTCAATACTCTTTCTACAACTGGGGAAAATTTGTCAGAAAACTTGTTAGCTGAGTGGGGATTTGAATGCAAGGCAAATTGTAAGAATTCCTAATCGTGCTTTGGAACCATAATCTAAGGCCTTTAGTTATCCTAAGTCTTTGTGAGAAAATATATGCTGATCAGGCTTCAAGTAAGCAGTCAAAGCTCTTACCTTACATGAAATGGATAAACACTACATAAGGAACAATGATCATGCTAACAACTGTTCATAGAACTACTGGATTGTTCAGTTCTCCGCTGCAGAGCCAGAAGTTGGGAGTTCAATTCCCCACAGTGGCTCTTTGGTAGGGGCTAGACTCAATGATCCATAGGGTGTCTTCCAGCTCTGCAGATTATTATTTTTATTTAGATTTTAGAAGATAGGAACAGCTATTGAAAATTAGCGCTAGCAGTCATAAAGTGAGAAGACTGAAATATTCAATTTTTAGAAAAAGCAAATTTCCCCAGATTGCTCTTTTAAAACTTATTATGTTAAATATTATATCTCTTTTTTTTACTTTCCATACTCCAACAAAAAAGGAAATGCAGTAAAGCTGTGCAATCCTTGTATACAATTGAAAAACAAGGATGAACAACACCTTTATTAGACTACTAAAATCTCACAAACAGGCTAGCTTTGGGGTCCTGCATGGTGTCTCTGTTCCAAGCCCAAGAGGAGCCATCTGCTTTTGTCAGTGTGAAGGGAGTGCTAAATGACTGGCAACCCTCAATCTATAAAGACTGGGAAGGGCCACGATGGATCTACATTACCTGAGGTGAAGCCTGAAATCTGCCACCTCAAACTGACATTAAAAGTCTGCAAAAAAGAATTTGGCCTCTACTGCTGGCCATGATGGTTTGGGGGATCTTTTTGTTTCTTCTGTAAACCCCCAGCCTTGTAATGCCTACGCTGATGCGGAGTGCTGCTGTGAGATTTTAGTGATGTTACAGAAGTATTGCCCACTCTTGGATTTTCTTTGTCCTGTTAGTCTCGGCGGTGTTATGCCTTTCTGAGACTCCCCAGCAAATTTTCTTTAATTGCATATGTAACCCCTATAAAATATTGGTGCAGCCCAAAGTGCTGAGACTAAGAAAGAGTGGGGCTGTAAGTAAGAGATTTGAATCAGAAAGAGCAGGATTGCTGAAGAGGCCAGAGCTGCTAAGGCCCTTGCCAACTTAGTCTAGGATTTTGGAGACTCTCCATGTGGAACTGATTCTTCTTTGTTATGGATAGAAGAATCCAGTTGAGGAAGGTATCTTGGATTTTTCTCTGAATTTTAAAATCAAAAGGACAGTTGAACTTTGCAGTTCTCCAAGGAATGTCTGTATTGGTACTGTTGCCGAGGTCTTGGGCTCACAAATTACAGCATGTTGTTGTTATTATGATTGTTCGTGTTGTCTGTTATATAACTGTGAATAAGAAGAGGCTCATTTTGTCATTTTGTGAAATTGTGTTTGCAAGTTCGTCAATAGATTCTCTAAGTAAACAAATAGCCCCACAGAATTTTAAAGTGTTACATGTGTGTGCACCTATGCATACATATTTTCCACTGCTACAATTTTTGTTTCTAAAATAAAACGGAACAGCATTCCAACAATATCCTAAAAAATGTTTCTTTTAACAAAAACTTCATATTCTCCCACGTTGGTCTGAATTTAGTATGAAATTGAAAAATCATTTTATGCCATCAATGGAAAAGATTACCAAGGCAACCCAAGTGTGGCTAAAACACAGTTCCAACAGATTGCAGGATTGAATACACAGGTTTTGTTTCTAATTTTCCACATATCAGCCCTACTTTAAACCAAAAAATGTTTGTGTTTTCCAACAGACTACTCAAAGCCATTCACTTAGGTAAAATAAGCAAGCCCTCATCCTGCAAATTGTTCTCACTTTATGAAAAAGAGTACACCAATTTTATTTCAGTGAACTGTTTTCCACCAATCCAGGTGAGGCGGTTTCTGTGCTGAACTCATGTCTGGACCTGATAATGGACTGGATGAGGGTTAATAAATTGGAACTCAATCCAGACAAGACAGAGGTGCTGTTAGTGGGTGCTTCACCAGACAGGTTGGAGGGCCATTTTCCTGCGCTGAATGGGGTTACACTTCCTGTAAGGGACAGGATCCGCAGCCTAGGGGTGCTCCTGGACCCCAGTCTAACACTGGAAGCCCAGGTGGACTTGGTGGCCAGGGTGCCTTCCTTCAGCTGCGGACATTATACCAGCTACGGCTCTACCTGGATGAACGGAGTCTCATGACAGTTACACACGCACTGGTAACATCTCACATAGATTATTGCAATGCGCACTACGTGGGGCTGCCTTTGAAGACGGTCCGGTGACTGCAGCTGGTCCAGAATCGAGCTGCACGGCTGGTGAGTGGCAGGGCCACTAGGGGACATATCAAGCCGATTCTATTTAAGTTACATTGGCTACCAGTTGCTGCCCGAGCCCATTCAAAGTGCTTGTTTTGACATATAAAGCCCTAAATGGCTTGGGCCCTGGATACCTGAAGGACTGCCTCCTTCAATATGAACCTACCAGGCAGTTAAGATCTAGCCAGGGGGCCCTTTTGAAAGAGCCGTCCCTCAAGGAGATAAGAGGGAGGGCTTGTAGAGAAAGGGCCTTTTCGACAGCTGCCCCCAGACTATGGGATGCCCTCCCAACTGAGATTCGTCTGGTGGCGACGCTGATGACATTTTGGCTCCAGGTCAAACCTTCCTGTTCCAGAAGGCTTTTAATTGAAATAATATCAGCTGTGGGTCTGATGCAAATTTTTAGAGTATATCTTTTTAATTGCATTTTAATTATTTTGCCCTTTTATTTTGCCTTTTTTTTGTATTTTAAATGTTGTAAGCCGCCCAGAGACGTTCGGGTAGTGTGGGCGGCATATAAGTTAAATAAATAATTAAACAATTAAACAATTAAACAATTAAACAATTAAACAAACAAACAAACAAACAAACAAACAAACAAACAAACACACACACACACACACACACACACACACACACATACATACATACATACATACATACATACATACATACATACATACATACATACATACATACATACATACATACATACATACTTGCTTGAGGTATGTATTTTCAACTCACATAAATATATTTTCCTACCATGTTTCCCCGAAAATAAGTCAGGGCCTTATATTATTTTTTGCTCCCCCCCCCAAAAAAAACACCATTAGGACTTATTTTCAGGGGATGTTTTATTTTACAGTCATGTAAAATAAAACATCCATCTTCTTCTGGCTGCTGCATAAGGGTGGAGGGCGGGGTTTCACTCAACTGGGGCTTATTTTTGGGGTAGGGCTTATATTACAAGCATCCAGAAAAATCATACTACGGCTTATTTTCAGGTTAGGTATTATTTTCAGGGAAACAGGGTATGTCATTTGTTGCCTTGTTAAAATTACCACATTCTATCTCCCCCACCCCCAGCTTCTTCCCCTCAGCAAGTCTTTTCAGTTTAAACTTTCTGTGCAGTCTTGACTAAGGTAATTTTGAATTCAACAATCATGTACTAATCTATGTAGTCTTAATTACACAGAATTAGATATGGGCATGAACCAGCTTGTCCCAGTCTGTAAAGGCAACAGCACAGCTGCTGCTGGCCTTCCCTGCCTCTTCTGGCTCAAACATTCACTCATTAGGCAACACCTCAGACTTCTCTGCCCTCCCATCTTGGCTGATCTCCCACTCAGAGAAGTCTGAGCTCTTGCTTGTGACTGGGAGATTAGCCCAGGAGGTACAGAAAAGCAAGTCAGTGGAAAAGTGGCTTGATCAGCTGAAGAGGCCGGGAAGGGAAGCAGCAGCCCCTATGCTGCCACCTTTACGAACTGGAACGAATCGGTTTGTGCCTGTCTCTACACAGAATCCATTCTTTGTTGCAATCACTGCAGTAGGGAGGGGAGATACTGTAGCCTTTATACTAGATTTTTAAAGGAAACAGAACCTCTTCCCATTGTATCAGGGTGCCATAACAAATTTTGGACAGAACTGCAAAAATATTTTATTACAGGGAAGCACGAGTTAAGCCTTTATAGCAAGATTCCAAACCCCCTCTTGGGTACATTTAAGTAGAAGAGAAAACGGATCTCTTTTAAGAGCTTTTGTTAGGGTTATTATTTATAAATCATCCTAATCAGAATTATAGGAATACTTGAGAACTCTTGATATGTGGTCTGAAATTCTAAGCGGAAACATCAATTTTTCTTTGCTCTCACTAAATAGTACCTTTGCTTGTGAGGCCACCACTTCTTAAAAATCATTACATGAAAATAAATCCCAGATATTTAACAGTTATTTACTTCTATAAAACGGATTTACTAGTCTCATACAACAATATTCATTTCTAAGAAAGAGGCTTAGTAGCCACAGGCAAGAAACTTGAAAATCTATCTGCAAAATGTGCCTGCAAGTAGTTCACCTGGTTTGCTGGATGTTGATTACATGGCCAGTCTCATGACTGATTGTCCAGGGGAGAATAGCACGCCAGCAAAATATCAACCACTGCATGCACAAGTGCCATTAAATGATTGTGTAATGTAGTAGTATTCTGGCCAATGTCTTAAACACACACACACCAAATCCTGCCACAAGTCAGTTCTGAAAAAAACACAGGACAACAGACAAATCTCCGGAATGAAATGATTTGGCAATGATATCATCTAAATTCCATGTTTTTTTTTAAAAAAAATCAAGGATGGCAGTTCTCCTACTCAGTTTAAAAGATAAGAATTTGTGTTGCTTAACCATTGTGGCAGAGAGGCTACCACACAATGTTACTCTTTCACTGTTTACAAAGTCCTCTGTAATTTTTTGTCTTGCATTTATAACCAGAACACCGTTGTGCCCATTTATTCCTGTCACCGCTTATTCTTTCTTTATAGGATTTCAGAAATGCTCTAATACAATTTGAAAGCTTCCTTCTCTTCTTTTACCTTTTTTCTTGTACGGAGGTGCTTTGTTCATCCTCTCATAGCACTTGAACTGTGAATCTACTATCTTCTGCCGTATCGCTGAATGCTGAGTTGCTATAGGCTCTAGGGTGAGGCCAGTATAACTTACAGTAGAAGGGAGACTTGGAGCCATTCTCTGTGCAAAGAGGAAAATCTGTTAATGTATGGGTATAAAATGTATAGTGCTTATCCATCCATGTCAGGTTTCTTTAGAGCCAATTAAATACAGGATAATTTCCAACAAACCAATTACTCTGATTACTCACCAAAGTTTTTGCCTTGTGTTGGATATTTTTTCCCCTCCATGCATTGAGGGCTGCAATGGGGGATGATTTTGTGAAGGGGGTGGCACTTCTATGGTAGCTGCCCTATTGTTTTTCTCATAGCACCGTGCATTGGGAGATTTGGTTTCTTCTGACTGAATACTAACATGTAACATGATTAACCTGCATGAGGACTACCTTGCATGTAAGACAAGGAATAACCCTGAAGTTATGAATGGTATGTTGAATTACAAAGTTGATTTGGGGACATATTTTGTGCTGCTTGCCCCAGGTTCCAAAATTGTTAGTTATAGTTCTGTTGTCCTTTCATGGAACCCAAAATCTGCTGCTTTATCCTGCATAACATTTGTGCTAGAGCTCATAAAAGTATTTTTTGGGATTACAGCTCCAACAATTCCCCAGTCAGCATAACCAGGGAATTCTGGGGAGAGAATTCTTCCTACACCATGGCAACTGTGACTGTGTTTTCTAACTTCAGCTTGGACTAAGACTCATCATCATCCTAAAACTGGAGGGCTGGAAGGGACTCTGCGGATCATCAAGTCCAACCCCTGTCAAGGAGGTACAGTGGGGAATTGAACTTCCAATCTTCAGCTTCGCAGCTAGATGCCTCAGTCACTAGCTGTGCTGGTCAGGATTTCTGAGAATTATAGTTGGAAGTCCAAGACCATCTCGGGACCCAAGGTTGTTAACCACTGTATTAGAGAGTAAGTCCCACTAAAATCAGTAAGACTCAGTTCCAAGTAAATGTTCTCAGATTGCACCATTATGCTGGCATGTCAGTGCTGTTCTCTCCCCTCACCACTGCATCAGGACAGCTTACCCAACTGAAGCTTTTCTATGTACTGCTCAACACCAGCTACTACTGACTTGTTTGTTTGTCCAGCTTAGCACATCTTTAAATATTACACACTTCTCATAACAGTGATTAAAGGCCCAAATAGCAAATATGCATTAAAAACAACATTTGAAAGATAGGTGATTTTAGTGCTTATTTTTATATTTTGGGCACTTGACTTATTCCATTTTACTTTGACAACATGAGCAGGCAAAACTGGTGCCAGGGTTATAATATTTCCCTTTTGCTATATTAATCTTGGCAATGTTGTGAGTTTAGCTCGCCTGAGAGGAGTCCTGGAAATATGGTTCTCTCTCCTTGTTGTAGGTCATTTGCTTCACTCAGTTTTACAGAAACATTTAATGATTTAAACAGATGCTTACAGCTGGGCTAATTGAAGAAAACAAGAATATTTTTAGAGTTAAAAGGCTAGGATGGAAGTTGTTGTTTAATGTACAGTGGTGCCTCGCTAGACGATGCTAATCCGTTCCACTGAAATTGCTGTTTAGCAAAATCATTGTCTAGCGAAAAGCATTCCCCCACTGGAATGCATTGATACCTGTTTAATGTGTTCCAATGGGGAAGAATTGTCGTTGTCTAGCGAAGATTGGCCATAAGAAAGCCGCTTTGCGAACCGCCGATCAGCTGTTTAAATCGCTGTCTTGTGAAGCTTAGGTCTCAAAAACACCTGTTTTGTGAGCACGGAGGTAGCTGTCAAAATCGCCATCTAGCAAAAATCCAGCGAAATTCCCCCATAGGAATCACTGTTTTGCGAATCACTATAGCAATCGCAAAAAGTCAATGTCTAGCGAAAAAACTGTCATGCGGGGTAACTGTCTAGTGAGGCACCACTGTATATGGAAGGCACCAAGTTAGGGAAAACCATCTTTAATCATCAGTGCCATCATAATCATCATAATCATCATCTTAGAACTGCAGAGCTGGAAGGGACCCTATGGATCATCAAGTCCATCTCTGTCAAAGAGGCCTAGTGCGACATTGAACTCCCAACTTCTGGTTCTATAGCCAGATACCTAAACTGCTGAACTATCCAGCGGTTCTCAAAGGGGAGTGAAGAGGATGCGAACTATTACATTCAATTGGACTTTACAATATTAGTCCATGAAGCTAAATTTTTTGGGTTGAAGTAGCACTAGCCTGACTGTTGTATTTCCAGATTATACAACATCCATAACGGTTATTCAGAGCTGAGTGAAAGCTATACAGGCTACAGATGTTCAAGCTTTCACCTATCCAGATTTCAGAATTGAGTTTATTCATTTAGAACATTAGTATCCCACTCTATCAAGCAAACCCCCTTGAGAGCAGCTGACCTATACCCCCCCAAAAAAGAACAGAGTGACCAGCTGCACTTTAAAACAACTCTTAAAATGTAATCATCTAAACACTCTGGGCAAACAACAAAATCCTCCACAAGACATCAAGGGCTAGCTTGGGGATCTTCCTTTTGGGAGATATTCCAAAACAGCTACAACAGAAAAGGTGCTTTCAGAGGTCCCCAACTATTAAACAGAGAGGACTGGGAGATCAAAGAAATCTGGGAGAGAGATTTTAATATACAGTATTGCTATAGTAAGCTTGGGAACATAAGATACTTGAGGATGAAGGGCAAATCCATCACTGAGCCTGCTCCAGCTGGCCAAAGTGCCCCTCCTTCAACATGGCATAACACTTCCAGCTTCCCCATGGGAAGAACTGCAAGAGATGAGGGGAGACAGGTGGCGACGACCTGTTGCTCTGTTGCATCAGAACAAGGCTTTCTACCAACAGCTGCCCCTGTGAGAAAGCAGGATTTCAGGAGAGAGAGAGAGAGAGAGAGAAACAGGTGGGCAGAAGGCCTGGAGGAGGTTCAGGATAGGGAGCTGACCCCATCATTTTGGAGCTGGATACTCCTCATTCCAATCATGATCCACCTATGTTGGGATCTATTGCAACTCCATTCTCCTTCCCTTTGTCACAGGGTCATCTACAACTGATGGGTAACTGATGGATCCCGATAACGCATTATGAGCTGACAATGTTTGCTCTTTCCAAAAATTACATTTAGAAACTTGTAAGCCAGCGTTGAAGGTTTTATATTCTGAAAGTGGCAAGGGGGGCGGGGCAGCGGGATATAAAGCTATTATGAATGAACAAACAAACAAACAATATTTGTTTCTCTTTATTCTTAACCTTCATTTTGGGATGAGAAATACATTGCAGAGGGGACAATGTCTAGATTTCCTTGGACTTTGCTAAGGAAGTATCTTTACAGTGACTTGTCCAAAGCAGAACACACAGCTTTACTCAAAATAGGAACATTGACATCTTCTGCTTCTAATGGTCCTCATTATTATTATT